TCCGTATGAATTTGTGTATATATATGCTGCAACCCGATTTATTGATCACACACATCGCACGACAGGAATACGTATGGTATGTATGTTGGCAGCGACGAACCGTAAGTCACGTTGCGTTGGGTTCCTCTGATGTTAGTTGCGTTACGTTTGCGTCGCGACGCCGTACTACGTGCCACGCGCTCGTCATTGCCGGCTGAAAGCATGGCTGCTGGCTTTTACTTTGCCCAGATAATAACTCTGATAAAACAATTTGAAAATGATTGAAAAATAAGTGACCAATTAATATTTAAAGCGTGGACTGTAGATATTAATATAGGACGTTACGGAGGCCAGACTATAATAAACTGTCGTCGGGTATTTTACATGTAGATTTAAATAGATATGTCGTAATACAGAATAAGTATAATCGCTTACAGAGTATTTAGCGAGAGATTCAAAATTCGACTCCAGTTAATTCTCGTTTGATATTTTAAAAAGATTTCAACTGACGGATTCAAAGAATCGAAGGGATGGCGATTCTGAGTTTTGACTGGATGAAAAAAAAAGTGCCCGGCGTCGGGAGCGCTAGACGTAAACAAGAAAAGACGCCTGGAGTTGTATACGGTTAACGTGAGAATGCTCAGCGCCATTTATCTTCGCGTTGAAGGTGGCAGGGCGAACCGGATATAAAGAAGAAATTGTAATGGCTACCAGAAAGCTTAACACTTTTGATTTCGTAGGAAAGAAGAAGACATAAGAGAAAAGAAAGATGGCCACTGATCTACTGACTAAATAGTACGAGACATTTCGAAGGCGTTTGCAATCGTTAGTTCTACCGAAGGCAGCATCTCGAACGTCGACGTTGCCGACGTCGAAGGTCGTCGTTATAATTAACGACGCCTCGACCACGGTGCAATTAAGTTTAACGAACGCGCAGTCGCAATTAAAGAGAATTAGTATCGCAGTAATAACTCGTTAATAATCAGACGTTAGGTGCGGTTTCAGGTATATTTACGTGGGCACGAGGTTGACGATGACGAACGATGATCTCACTACGTAGACGTAGACGTCGACGACGACGAGGAAGTTGAAGACGCTGGTGGCGAGTGTCGTCGTAGTATTCACGAGCGTCATTGCTCACTCGGTCGCACAAAAACGTGTCGCAGCGACGACAGAGTATCGGAAGAAGTGAGAAAGGAGAGTAAGAAGAAGTGTAAACAAAGAAAATTTGAAAAAATACATCAGTAGCAACGTCACAATGCTGGTAGTAGTAGTAGCAGTGGTAGTAGGTAGTATCAGCAGCAAAAGCAACAGTAGCGTAGTAGTAGCGAAGACCGATGACGATGACGCGCGACAATGAAAAATCCGTTGAGAATCATTCGCACTCTTCACAATAAAACCATGGCGCGTGTAAAAAAAAATGCAGACAATAATAATACCAATAATAGTAAACAACAGGAATAATTCACTGCAGTCCCTCGAAGCACACAGTCATCTCACAAGAGATGTATTATAAACGAATGCACAATATATAAAGCCGGTTGCACATGTAGCCATCGTGGTGGGACATGCTATCACTGGACTAGAAATGTCGACAGTTGTATCAACTGTGTCTCGTAAGGCACTGCCGCTTCCTCATTCTCCATTATTTCGAACACTTCCACAAATATCTCTCTCTTTCTCTTTAATTATTTTCTGTGTTTTCTCCCTCTCACTCTCACCCCCCAGTTTCTCCTTTCCTCTCTGGCGGCTACAAGCACGTATCTCCTCTCCTCACTTTCCTCTCTCTCTCTCTCTCTCTCGCCACCGCGTCTCTCACGCCGCCTTCTTCGATATATGTACCTATTTATAATCCTCCTTACGATTAAATCAAAACTCCTTAATAATTCCCTGCCATCCTCAATATCCACCTTCCAATACTTCAGGAATACCAGCAACGAAACGGATACTCCCGATAGAGCGATTCTCGCGCGCGTTGTCCTCCGTGAAAACGTGAACGGCGATGACTTCCTTATAAGAGCACCGAGGCACTACAGTAACTGCGATGTATGTATACTATTTTATAATAGGCACTCGTTCGCGACGAGCGTCGAAGCATTGCACGAACCTGATTGCGGGGCGGCGCACCGAATTATGGGCCGCTCTGCGCTTTCGGCGGTTCTCGCATCGTTCCCCTCTTCATCCCCACCATTACGAGCGAGAAGGGGGAGCTCCCCTCCCTTCCTCCAGACGAATGAGTCGATCCCCACTCCTCGGGCCCCAATGCTTCTGCAGTAAGTAAAGCGCCAGCATTATGCCTACTGGTGTATGCCTCCCTCGACCCCTCGGCAACCATCTTCCGCGGTCTTCCCTCCCTTCGCCGCCCCTCCACTACTGCCCTAGCCATGCGGCAACGTAGTTTGCGCTGCGTTTGCGCTCAACTCGCGTAGCGTTGCTGTCTGACGTTATAGCGTAGCGTTCAGACACGTCTCCCCTCCCTCTCCTAGACTACTCTCTATCCCCACCGCTAGGTGCAACCTCTTCCTCCCCTCTCCGCCTGAAACACACCCCACCGCTCGTACCGTACGCCGTGGACCCCTTTTCTCGTGGCCCCATCCGGCATGTGAAGGAAGCGACTCAAGCACTGAACCAACCCACCATTAATACACCAGGCGATACCATAAGATATCAACGTCACGTAACAGTATGCAGTATGGCGTAGCACTGCGTACGCACACTGCTTCCTTCAATGTCTTATTATGCTTACCGCCTCCTCTTACTTCTTCGGCTCGTTATATTATCTTGACTTTGTCTTCTTCTCTCGGTTCCACTTTATACGATTCCCTTCGTCAGCCACGAGGCTTTTGGTATTACGTGCACACCCGACCCACCTGCCATGTACAGGGTGTCTTGGAACTTTTTTTCCTTTGACACTTTTCAATTCTGATTTTTAAGTTCTTGCATCTTTTGGCACGTGGGTTAGGGATGGTCGTATCTTGACTGTGGTACCCTTACGAGTGGAGTTTCTGTGGAAAAAAAATATAAATGGGGGGCTCTGTCGAGTGTGGATTGGATTCTAAGGAGGTATCGAAATGGGACACCCGACGGACCCTCGTGAGACCTTCTGAACCGCTTTTAATACTCTCGATGGCCTTGGCGTTCTTTCCGGAAGGATGGAGACTGCTTGATAAATGCATACAAGATACTCATGGGAGAGTTTGTATACAAAATGCTTATTACCAGTCCCATTGAGTCGCATGAGTAGGAAGCGGATATGGATACTTTAATCCAATTCTTGGGATGCGTGTACTTTCTCCTATAGTTGCATTCATTCGGTAATATGTTGCAGAATGCGTTCACCTTTCAGCCACCAGCATGCAGCACTGCACGGTGATAGCGTCATTGCCATGCTACCTACGGTGTAATCAATAATTTTATGACTGCCAGAACACGCTCGCCTCGCGATACGAAGGGTGCATAATCAGGGACTATATTTAAAAAAATGATCCAAATAAAAAATTCGATATCCAACGATATCACAATGTAGAATCGAAGTTAATTTTTTTTTAAATTTTCTTTTGGATTGATAAATTACGAAAAAAAAAAAAAAATTTGGGGTAACAAAAAGCTATTTTGATTTTGAGTTATTTACGTAAGATCTTGCATTTTCCTTAGGATTCGTTCGCCCTCCGCTAGATGTCAGCGCGAGCGTCGCACCCTTGCGGAGGCTGTGGCTTCCGTCAACTACCCTCTCACAGCTCTCTCTCTCTCTACCCTCGTTCTCTTAGCCACCCTCTTCCGTAGTGCCGACCTCCAAGACAGACTTCCTTCTTCCTCCTCGTTTCAGCCCCTATAATTCAACCCTTATCGATTTTCACAGACGCGACTTCTATCCCTCGACTTTCCTTTACGCTCTCTTTTACTTTTTCTCCCGTAAGAGTATTTTCACTTCAAGTACCAGCCTCTCTCGCAAGACCATCCAAGAGGCCGTTTAGAGGCTACGAGTAACGACGCCCACGAGGCAGTAAGGCCCCTGGGTCCGTCTGGTAAACAGCGCAATTAGTAATGTCGCGATATCATCACAAAAGCATCTACGTAATGAAGAGACAGCGCGATAACATTCTTCCACGTGTAAGCGACGGCGATAAACAAGAAAAAAGTAGTTCGACCGGCGATCGCGTAATTGTAAATTACCGCGTATCAGTAAGTGTCAATACCATTAAAGCAGAATAGTTTGGTCGAGCTTCGTATTGCCCCACAGAAACGGATACTCAGGTCACTAAACTCATTGACCATCGATAACAATACCTATGTCGTAACACACGTTTCTCCAACCTAGCTAGACTTCCACGAATCATAAATAGTATATCTAAAATGCAGACACTTTAAAACAGAATTCCGAAAAAACATATTATCCAAACACGGTTATAAGGCAATTTCATATCCTTGGCCCAGTGACACCATAAAGCTCCCGTAAACGCGTTTACGTATATTTAGAACAGACTGTTTAACCTGAAAAATTCTTGTGACGTTTAAATAACAGCAATAAATATCCATATCGGTTGCGACTCGCACCAGAACGCGTAATAAGAAATGTTCGGTGTACCGGAAGTGGCGTTAGTGCAGCCGGTGCAGCAGATCCCATTATATACGTGCGTGTGTGTATATATATAGGAAGGAAGAAGGAGCGAAGAAGCGTTCCGTCAGGCGAGTATCGAGAGAGTGTGTTATATCTTGTCAAGGGACGAGGAGGTGAGGGGACACAGGTAGGAAGTAGAAAGAGGCTTAGGGAGAGGGGGTGGTAACAGGCCACGTGTCGCGTGTCTCCCTTTAAACAAGGGTTGATACGTAAGAACGTCGCATAGGCGCGCTATCGCATTGGTCGCATGCGCCCCCGCCCTGATCGATAACCAAGAGAGCCGGGTCTGCGTCCCCGTGTGACGTCACTGGCCCCTGAGCCGAGTCCCCCCGACCGCCCCCGACCTTTCACGACCGCCCCCGACTACCCACGACCGCCCCCGAGATCGGCCGAACAGCACGAGCATCGTTTCTCTCTCGTGGCTCCTCGCGAGCACGGCCCTTACGTCGTTTTGACGTTTCCAACGAACATTTTCACGTGTCTGTCGTTTCGCAGAAACGTGCCCTGTCGTATTCTTTCGGTTAAATTCGTCACTCTTACCACGCCTCGGATCCCATCGCACCTCGCGATAACGTGTTACACGAGGCTACGGTGCAAATAATATTCCGGCATTTATCCCATCGCGACGACAGTGTCTTCTTCTCAGGAGAGATTTAATCGACTCTACAGTTTCTCACAACGCCCTGGGCATTCATCGAAAATAATAAATACACGCCTCAATTACGACGATCGCGTCGCTCCCTACGCCGCTTTGTTTCGTCTGAACGTGTATCGTAGTCTGCTGGAGCTTCGTGCTCGCTCGTCGCTCTGTGTGGCTAGGCGTGAATATAGTTACGATTACGTGCGTATAAACGATACTAGTCACGAGAAGTTTGTGCATGGTTAACGCCAGTGTATTGTGTTCAACGTGATTCTCCCAGAAGCCGTTGTTCCTTCGAGTGAGGGACAATCGTCCCGGAGAAAAATTGTATGAGGTTAGGACGGCCTCGTTGACAACTGGGAAAAATTTGTGTCGCAGACTAGGCTTTTTCGAAGAATCAAAATCCTGCAATCAGTCAAGCGGCAATTGTCACTGATCAGTGAAGTGGTGAACGTAGGGTGTGAGATTTTTCTAGTGAAATTTGAAAGAGATTTTATTTGGCAATTTTTCATTGTGTTTTCGTATCTTTCTATACTTTTATTCCGTTATTTTCTATCTTACGGAAAATACAGGGTCAACGCAGTGATAGTCATAAAGAGTCTGTGCGTGCCTCGGGAGACTATCAGTTGCAAACATGACACTTGACGGTTAAAACTAGGAACTTTAGTGTAACGTGCTATCCGTCAAGAGTAAAGATCATGGAGTCTCGTCATTGAATGGCTGCGTTTGTTAAAAAGTGAATATCCAAGCAGTGACAACGTGAGTGCAGTGTTTTAAAAGTGCGCGTGGGTTATGTCTAAACGGTGCAGGGTTGCAACCCCTTGAGGGTGCAGCTGAGCTCGACCGGGCGCGACCCACAGCCCTACATTTGCAGTATGCGGCGCGACCTAACCTCAACTTAAACCCCGCCTAACCAATCAAGAGACACGTTCACGCACGCGTTGTCCTGTAGCCTCGACAGTTTCATAGATACGCGCCTTTAGTTTTGATTAGCGCAGTCACTGCTCGAATCGTGAAACTAGATAAAATTCTAATACCAATTAAACTACTTAGATTCAGTGTTATCGAGCTTTCCTATTTTTAATCCCTGATAATTTTTGACGGCATGACAAATCTTCAGGTTATTCGTTGCTTCAATAGAGAAATTGCTCTATATATATTTGTTTGCATGCCTTCTTGGTACAATGTCATCTGATCAGATTAATTGTAATTAACGGTAATCATTTATCAAGTACCTACCTACGTGTCAGAGCATCAAGGCTTACTCATAGGTAGCGATACGGGTATATGAATTATTATCATTGAATTGGCGTGACATTCAGGCACGTTGAAATGTGAATACCGTGAATCATGTTGCGATCCATGAAGTCAATTCCTTTTTTGTTCTCTGCAATATTGGTTAGGTTCACTACACATTGCCAACCGCACGGGTTTTATAATTACCTAGCGTATTGATAACGCTTGCTCGAAAACTCGAGCGTTCGATGGCTTGAAACGGAACGACAGGCAGTGCCTATATAGAGACCGACTATAGTTTCAAGGCTTATCGAAGTAACCGGTTTCAGTGTAGAAGCATCATAAATACCAAAAATATATGTGGGACAGCTAGTAGGGTTAATTTTAGTATCGCTATCAATAGAGAGAATCCATTCGAAAGGTTGTTGTTTCTAGAAATAAACAGGATTAGTGCGGTTACCTTGGCCAGTAACGTAGGTAGTTATCGAATCGCTTGAACTCTGGAAATTTAATTGAATTATCCGACAGTAAGAACCTCGGGAAAATTGAATTTACATCCTTAGGTGGTCGCAGTGCGGTGTCGCGTACAAGGGCAAAGGTTATATTACCGAAGCGTTAGTCGTGACTCGGTCGAGCTAGCGTGCGCATCTTCCTGAGCGTATTAAAACCTTAAATATTCTTACAGATAATATCGGTCAATCCAAAATCGTGCAAGAGGCATAAAATAAAGATCAGTGAGAATTCTGGGACAGGGTGACAGTGGGTGGTGGCGATAGTGTCAAGAGGTCATAGGTGGTCGGGAGAGAATTAAATCGGGAAGTAGTGAAGTGTGTGATGTGGTGGTGTCCCCCGGGTGGCCACGGGGGCAGGAGGTCGTCGTCAGCACAGTCGTGAGGGGTCCAGGGTGGCAATCGCGCTTGCCCCTTACCGAGGGGCAGTTCCTTGAGGAACCGGAAGAGGCCGAAGAGGAGGAATGGTGTGACCTCCGGCGTCATCCCGCCCGACGCGGAGGTGCTGCTGGAGGCGGTGAAGGTGCTCGAGGTCGTGCTGGAGGAGGTGGCGGAGGAGGCGGAGGAGCCGAGCAGCTGCTGCTCGACTCGGAGGAGGAGGATCTGGCGATGTCGAAGCAGCCTCGCGGGGAACGAGAGATCCGCGACCATCGTGACCTTCGGGACTCTCATCCATCCAGGCATCGGGATTACGAGCAGGATTACGACCTGCACCCTGCCGCACCGACAACATCATCGGCCTTCACGAACAACCCGGTGAGTGACACACTTATTTCTTGCTTATCGATATTTTATCGATTATCTATTCTATTATATACGCTACGAAAGAGAACATATATTTATAATCTTAATTTCGCAAAGTCAACGTGATGCTGCAGTCGTTATGACGTATTTGGCTCGTTGAAACTACCGTGAAAAAGTATACCTGGGTTTTTCCTTTATTTTATTTATTTTTTTCCTCCAATATTTCATATGAAATATCATGACCCACAATTTCCCACGTGATTCTCGCGCTTTAATATTTCAACGCGGAGATGTAGCCACGCAATCGCCATGCACGTATTAATGTAGACAGCACAAGGAGTATTTTGAAAAAAAATTAGTAAGGAGGTGAGTGAGATAAATTTTCCAAAATTTCACCCACACTCGATACTCGCCTATTCGAAAAAGTTCGGAATTGTCAAATATGAGTGAAATTTTCGGTAAAATCAATCGAATCAAAATGAAAAAAAAAAAGAAAAATGAAATCAGACGCGCTGACAAGGCTTTGGAAGGTGGAAAGTCTATTTCGGGCGAGAATCGCAGACGAATAAAGAGATGGCCCAGGGGGAGTGGAGAGGAGCAAGGGATGAAAATACAAGGACGGCGGAGGGTATAGCTTACGTACATCAAAGAGATAGACCTTTCTCGTCCTCGATAAGACCTAACCTAACGCGGACCTCTTCATTTGACGACTTGCATCTTTGAGAGGCCGCAAAACGAGCCTTGGACAAACACCGTTATGCAGCTCTCATTTGCAGCTGCATTCAGAGGTCTGCTTGACTCGCTCCTTCACCCTTCTTTGCAACTCGCTGAGTAAGGGGTGCTAATGAGAGCAGGAGGGGGTGGCGCAGAGGCTGTGGAAAAAAAACACCTATACAGTTATAAAGTGCGATTCGGTTGAAGGACAACAGTAGTTTTTGACAATTGACAGGATTTTTTACTGTAAAATTTTATAATTGAAAAACCATAGCCATTTTTATTTCGGAGCTCCCAATAAAAAATGAACGGCTACTTTTTGCACTGTGTGGAAAAAAAAATTCAAAATTTTTTTATAAAATATTTTTTTCTATTCAGGCATACTAATCGAAATTATTTTATCGCGTATCTGCAGTCTCCGTTTCGCGGTAATGTCTCTAATTAAAATTATCAATATCATTTGCATTCCTACGTGACGGCGAATCATTTCCAGATGAGAAATTGTAAGGTGGTCAGCGCCCACGTAGTATATTCCCCAACGTATATAGCCGGAAATTCATGCAAGTTCTAGGACGTAATGAACTCCTAGTAATATTACAGACGTCTACGTCATTCGGTTAGAATCTCATAGGGATATTCGTACCTGCTACCTGTATTTCTACGAGATGATGTATATACAGGGTGTTCGTTATGAAACGCACTGTAGTAACACTGTTACATTCCTTGTCAAATTCTAATGAATACGTGTATTTTCATTTTTTATTTCATTTTAGAATTTGACAAGGATGGCAACGATGTTACAACAGTGCGTTTCATAACGAACACCCTGTATATATATATATATATATATATACAGGTAGCAGGTACGAATATCCCTATGAGATTCTAACCGAATGACGTAGACGTCTGTAATATTACTAGGAGTTCATTACGTCCTAGAACTTGCATGAATTTCCGGCTATATACGTTGGGGAATATACTACGTGGGCGCTGACCACTATATAAAAGTCGATCTCAGTACATAGCATCCGTATAGTACATACAGCTATATACAGCTCGATGAGCTGGTTATCTAGGGCACTCGGTTGCTGCAGTCCCTGGAAAGCCACCCTCGTCCTCGTCATCCCCTAATCCAGAGATCGGCTTTATACCTCTTATATTCTTCCTCCGCCTATTTTTCATCCCCCTCTCACTCTCTCTCGCTCTAGTCCTCCCTGCGTCCCTCTCGGATCTCCTCTTACTTCCACGAATCCCTCTCGGATCCTCCAGACAATTTGACACTTTGGTGCATTAGAAAATAAAAAGAGAAAAAAAGTCCCCAGACCACCTGTCAAAAAATCACTAGGTACGATCAACGAGGAACGCATTCTTAATTTCGTACCCTGTATCGTTACCACCCTGTTGTAAAAGAAAAGAAGCAATTTCATTTCCGCCACCCTTCTATCCACCCCCATACAGCACATACGTAACCGCATAACGCATGCAAATTGAATTTTACATAATTATGAAAAGACACCGTTATCTTATTCGCGCTCTCTTGGTACCAGTTCAATATATCAGAGCTCCTCCAATTTTCTATACTTTCGACGTAAAATTTTCCTGACGCGTGTTTCTTTTTTTTGTCCCCTCTTATTTTCCCTCTTCGTCCTCCCTTTCTTCCTGGCACCTGGTTTTACCTGCCGTCTCCTCTGCGGCTTCTTTTTTACGCTGCTTCCTCGCATTCTGTACACACGTGTGTATCTGTATAGGCTCGGTGCGCTGTATCATGGCCACTGAAAATTACTCACTCGGAAAGGCATTCTAGTGGCTGTACGCCAAGATGGCTACACCGGGTATACACATATGTGGGCCACGCCACACGTAGGTATAAAGTGCGTGGAGGCACGCGTGCTCACGCACGTGCATCGGCAGCTTCCACGAGCCCTTTCAGGGCAGCGGGACTTCTTCGGGCCTGTGGTTCGAGACCCGGTTTCAGCGAATATAGGTCAGTGTACAAGCTTGCAGGAGCAAAAAGAAGAAAAAAGAAGCTTTCTGCCGTGCAAGCCCGACCACGGCTACACCGAACCCCATACCGAGAGAGAATCGCTAACGGCCAAACGAGTTTCTTGCGCTTTTGCTTTCCTTTTTCGTGATTTCTTACCTCTATCTTTTTTTTTATCTCCTACCTTTTTCTTTTTCTCCTCACTCCTCCCGACTGTCTTTTACATTCCTTCTCTTCCCTTCGTCCGTCCTTCTAGTTTTCGTCGGCCTCTTTCATTCGCGCTCAAAATTTTCTTGCCACCCCCTTCCTCCCCCTCTTGCAAAAGCAACCAGGACAGTTGATCAAAATATTTTTTTTTTTTTCACTAAATTCAACTTTACCGCAATTTTGTTCTTATATATCTGTAACGAAGATTTTTTGAAATTTTTTTTTTTTTTTGAAGATCGTCCCAACACGTCGTCTGGTATCTCTAGTCTTTCTCTCGTTTCTTTACGCGTCCGATAAAATTGTGATTTTTGACTCGTGTAAACCAATCTTCTAACCTCCCTGTCTACTGTCTTCATCCTCGTTCGCGCTGCTCCTATTACATTGCCGATACTTTCGAGAGGCCAAAGTGTCGGCTGTAGCATATGGACCAACAAGGACCACGAGGCAGAGCCAAGTCCCGAGTCTTTGTTGTCCTAGGTTGGATGCTGGATACTGGTAGCCACCCCTCCGTCCCCCCCACCTCGTTCCATCGTTCTTGCGCTAGACTGTGTTTTGTTGCAGCGCAGCATCCATAGTTACTCCTTCGTTTCTCTCATCTCCCGTATACTTAAACCACCTTCTAAGCCTTCTAACCACCAGTCCCCGACTCCCTCTCCACCCCTTCCGCGGTAGCGACGAAATATTTGGGGTAAAAAGTATTCACGAAGACGAAGAAAAAGAAGAAGACGGGATTCCGGGAGGTTGGGGTGGGGGGGGAGGAGAGTTGAGAAAAGATAAAGACGCACTGGTAAATCGACGGCGACGCCGACGTCGGTGGTACGGGCCTACCGTACACCTGCGGAATTACAGAGACGGATTGGTATGAGGGGAATTGAAGAAGAAGAAGAAAAAAAGTAAAAGAACAAAACGAAACGTCTGGCGGCCGCATGTCGTCCAAGTTGCAGAATTATTCTTTTCGGAATCCTACGGGTAATAGGTCGTCCGGTATGTACGATTGGATTAAAAAAAAAGCGCCTCTTTATGTATCAACGTCCGGACGTAATTTGAAAATACGATTTGACTCACCCCGTAAAAGGGGTTCGTATCTTCGCGCTTACGTCCTCCCTTCGATAGGTAACCCAGCCATTACGTATACGCGTGACCCTTAAGGATCCTGCTGTTGAAGAAGGGTTACCACGTCAAAGCCCAACGGATCGTGAAGCCTTGGGGGAGCTTTAATTAAAGCCCGGATGTTCCGGGAGACGTCGGTAGACACTTTTTTCTTTTTCCTCGCCGAAGACTCAAAAGCCCTCCCCTCGTTTCCTCCTCGTACCTCCCCTCCCGCGCTCATCTCCCCTCGTTCTCCTTGGTATCGGTAACGCGCATGCGCAAAGTCCAACTAACATCGCTATATGCCAGTCGGAACTTACTTTTTCACACCGACTGTATTATCCATATCGATACGTATAATCCCCCTCGTACGTTGGACGGGAGAGAAAAATAAAAGGTGTCTACAAAAATTCATCTTTCCTCCCCTCCAGCCCTTGCCTCCCTACCGCGCGCCGTCTTCACGAATATTTCGTCTCATAAAAGTCCTAATGAGCGTCCGCCAGGATTATTTAATGGCGCGTATATACGTTAGGTACCGGGGCGCATAGTCAGGTATAAAGTAAGAGAGCGAGGTGAAGGAAGGTATGCCAACTGCCAGGTATGTGACCGGATTGGTGTATTGGTGTACGAACGCGTCTGGATGAGTTTTAAGTCTCTCCATACCAATTCTTCCCCCCCATATCCAACGCATCGTCCCCCCCTCCCACCTACCTCTCCCCGCCCCCCTCTTGACTTGGCCCACCGACCGAAAACTCTCCATATTTACCACGGGGCTTCCATCTTCGACTCTCCTTAGTCTCAGTTCAGGTAAATGACAGCAGATCGTACAGATCGGTTCTCTCGCTCTTACTCCGATCTTCTCTCGGCTTCGTGCTTTGTCTCTCCCGCCACCTCCTGTCACTCTGTTTCTCTCTATCCTTCACTCCTGCCACTCGGATCCCTCTTTCACTCGTACCTCGTCTCGTCACTCTCTCTCTCTCTCCCCCTCTCTCTCTACTCGGGTCCCTATTCTTCCCTGGCA